AGAAGGGGGGTCGGGGCAGAGGTCTGGTGACCGGATAGTTGGGCTGATTGAGGAGCACAGAGCAGGGCTGGGGAAGAGATGTGGTGAGGTGCACATAGAGAAAGTGAGACGTGGGAGCCGGGTCAGGTCGCGAGGGAGAGACCTTCTGGAGCCGCCAACGACGTCATGAGACAACTTGCCGAGTCCTGAGCTCAATGAACGGATGCAAGTGTAGTGCGTGTGTGGGATCGCTGCTACTAGGGCATCACGTCCGCGTCCCAGACTGTTGCTCGGGTTTGTCGCTTTCACAGACTGACAGACAGCTGGGAGTAGTCTTTGTCGCGTGATGGTTAATTCTATTTTTTTTTATTCGGCCAAATTAAGCGCAGGACTAAACGTAATGTGGCAGATTCCAGAACCCGGTTGGACCCCGAGCCTGGGTTTCGAAGGGAGAACTCAGCGGTATGTACGCTGAACTTCTTTTGCGCCGTACGTAGCCAACCGTGCTAATCGGAGGTTGCGGGGTGGTGCCAGTTCAGTGCTCTGCCTTCTGAGACAGCAGCCGCCTGCCCCTCATCGGTCAACGACGAATTCCTGGAACGCGAAGCAGCACAATGAGCGCATCTCTCCGGAGAGCTGCTAACGAAACCGTCCCTGCCATCACGTCCATCGGTTGATTTTTTTGCTTTCGTTTCCGATCGAGGAAAATTCCCGTCATGCATACCCGCATGCCAGCGGTGAGGACACAAAAGAGTAGAGGCCCTGAAGCCGGCTCCACGCCAGGGCGATCGGTTGTGCAACTCAGAATCACTAGCACGCGGTCGTTCGTGGGACCGGTGGCTCACAGCGGAAACTGACTCGGATTGGCAGCGTCGATCTGCACGGCGGCGATCGGCAGCGACGCCAGCTGCCGATCGCCGCCGACCTACGAACCGCGGAACGGTCATTACGGCGCTGCGAGTGCCGTTTCATCTCCTCGTTGCAAAAGAGGCGGCAGATTCACGAGAATCCGAGCCACGACAACAACGTTGGCAAGAAGGAGATGCGTCGGGTGATCCTCGCGCGGAGCCACCGCCACCATCGTTAACAACGAGTGAGTTGCCGCGACAGGACTATGCCACGCTTCCATGATTGCGAGAACCCCGTCGCGCAGCGACCGCTCTATCGGAAGGCAGCGGCGGCGGCGGCGGCGATGATCCGAGCTGCGCGATGTGGAGAGGAGCGATTCTGAATGCGCAACTCGATCGTCGTTGGGGCGTGAAACGCGGCACTGGAGCGTCACACAAACGCATGCCCCGCACGGCACACGCAAGCCGCACCGCGGCCGGTACCTAGCCTTGCGAATGGTCCGCATCCGGGGAAACCGCAGTGTGACATGTTTGGTATTTCTGGTGGGAGTGGAAAGACAGGGCGGGAGGGGAGGGGAGCATTACGTGGGGAGAGAAAAGGGGGGGCAGGAGGGGAGAGTTACGTGGAAAGAGGGCGTGACCAAGCGAGACCTGGGTGGTGTGGGTGCCATCTGCAGGGAGGTGGATAACGGTGGTGACAAGGTCGATATAACCTGTGGCTACGGTGGTGATGACGATGGTGATGATGACAGTGGTGATGGTACATTTGTAGCATTGTTAGTGATGGTGATGATGACAAAGTTGGTAAAAAGATTGTGGTTGTAGAAAGGTTAATTGAATTATGATGAGCATTATGGTAATCATGCTCGCAGTATACATGATAAGGACAAATATGAAGATAACTGACTTAATTCAAAGCTTCCGTGACTTACAGGAATAACTCGTTGGTTCTTTCGTTAAAGTCACGTAGAAATAAATTAAAATACATAATAGAAAACGACATTTCGATTGCAACATAAGCAATCGTCATCAGGTACGATGCAATACAACACAGAGAGTCGGCTAACATAACAGTCAACACCCTACCTGGTTGATTACGTTCTGCCAAAGATTGCTAAATTCGAGAGAGAGACAAAACACAGACACGGAGACACAAAGACAGACAGACAAGCAGAGAGAGACTCACACAGAGACAAACAGAAAGAGACACACATAGGCACACAGAAGCAACGCCTATGTGTCGAGGCCTCGAGGTGTACCTGATGACGATTTCTTGTGTTGCAATCGAAACGTCGTATTCTATTAATATTTTATTTTATTTCTTTCTTCGTGACTTTACCGAAAGAACCAAAGATTAATTCCTGCAGTCACGAAAGCTTTGAATATAGTTTTAACCACCTATACTCTTGGTTCTTTTCCAAGACGGAGGTACTCTGCAAACCTAACGGCTACCTTCAGAGATTTGTTCATGAAGCCATCCAGATATATAAACACAGACACAACTTCAACCGAGAGGATGGATACAAACTGAGCAATCAATGGAAGGACGTTATTAACCAGGTAAAGTATTAACTGACTGTGATGTTTCCATCCAACCTGCATATGTCAGCTGTTATTTCGACTCTCCGTCTCTCTCTATGCCTCTCTCTTAGATCTCTCATGCTCACATGTCTGTTGGATTACACTCTCATACTCACAGGCCCTTCGGATTACACCCGGTGGGTTGCACTCCCTCGTCGAGGAGGTCGTTCTTCTTCTCCTTCTTTTCTACAGTTACATGCTTATTTCTCACATTAACATCATGCTAATCCCTCACATTAACATCATGCTAATCCCTCACATTAACATCATGCTGATCCCTCACATTAACATCATGCTGATCCCTCACATTAACATCATGCTGATCCCTCACATTAACATCATGCTAATCCCTCACATTAACATCATGCTGATCCCTCACATTAACAGCCACTTCCGTGCCCTCGTTTAGGAGGCCGCTCTTCTACCTTACAGTTACATGCTAATTTCTCACATTCACATCACTAGCCCCGGCCACTTCTTTGTAACCCTTGAGCTACACCCATTTCAAACCTTTTAAAACAGTCTGCCTCAGCAGCAGACCATGCTTTCCCACCTGATGATGGACGCTTGTGTTGCACCCGAAACGTCGTGATTTATTAGATTTTCTACCTACGTGACTTTACCGAAAGAACCAAAGAGTATGGATTCCTGCAGTCACGAAAGCTTCAAATCAAGATTTTAACCACCTCTACGGGGAGGATTTGCCGTGCTTGTTTGTTTCACACCTAACTTCTAATTTAGCAATATTTGGAAGAACGTAATCAACCAGACTATGCGTTACCTGTGTGTTAACCGACTCTCTGTGTTGCATTGCATTATACTTCCTAATTTAACTATATTTGTTTATCCTTGCTTGTTTGTTTAGAAGTCCAGTGCCGAGCTCCTCCGTCCGCTTTGGGCAGGCCGTGCTTGTTTGTTCCACACAACTCTCTCATTGTTCTCTACCCTCCCCCCCTCTCTGCCCCACCCCCTCTCTATTTAAGGCCTCAACACAAAGGCGTTCTTTCTGTTAGTCTCTGTGTGAGTCTCTCTCTACGTGTGTGTCTGTCTATGTGTCTCCGTGTCTGTGTTTTATCTCTCTCTCAAATTTCGCAATCTTTGGAAGAACGTAATCAACCAGGTGGGGTGTTGACTGTTGTGTTAGCCGACTCTCTGTGTTGTATTGCATTATATTTCTAAGTTTTACTAGGTTTGTTTTCTCATTCATTCGTACCTGATAACGATTGCTTGTGTTGCAATCGAAACGTCGTATTCTATTATTACGTAATTTAATTTATTTCTACGTGACTTTACCGAAAGAACCAAAGAATGATGACGGTCATCATGATGATGGAAATCCACAGCTATGTAGATGAGCGTGTGAACGTAGGATAAGCAAGACGGCATCATCGGGATGAAGTCTGAAAGATGATATCACGGCAATACAGCTCATGAAACGATGACAGCGTTCGTCAAATGTGGCCACTCTCTCAGTGCCACTCTCCCTGAGCCACTCTCTCTGAGCCACTCTCCCTGAGCCACTCTCCTTGAGCCACTCTCGCTGAGCCACTCTCCCTGAGCCACTCTCTCTGAGCCACTCTCCCTGAGCCACTCTCCTTGAGCCACTCTCCCTGAGCCACTCTCCCTGAGCCACTCTCCTTGAGCCACTCTCGCTGAGCCACTCTCCCTGAGCCACTCTCTCTGAGCCACTCTCCCTGAGCCACTCTCCTTGAGCCACTCTCTCTGAGCCACTCTCCCTGAGCCACTCTCTCTCTGAGCCACTCTCCCTGAGCCACTCTGCCTGAGCTACTCTCTCTGAGCCACTCTCACTGAGCCACTCTCACAGCTCCACTCTCTCTGAGCCACTCTCTCAGAGCCACTATCTCAGAGCCACTCTCTCTGAGCCACTCTCTCTGAGCCACTCTCTCTGAGCCACTCTCTCTGAGCCACTCTCCTAAGCCACTCTCTCTGAGCCACTCTCTCTGAAGCACTCTCTCTCTGAACCACTCTCTCTGAGCCACTCCCTCTGAGCCACTCTCCATGAGCCACTCTCCCTGAGCCACTCTCCCTGAGCCACTCTCTCTGAGCCACTCCCTCTGAGCCACTCTCTCAGCGCCACTCCCTCTGAGCCACTCTCTCTCTGAGCCACTCTCCCTGAGCCACTCTGCCTGAGCTACTCTCTCTGAGCCACTCTCACTGAGCCACTCTCACAGCTCCACTCTCTCTGAGCCACTCTCTCAGAGCCACTATCTCAGAGCCACTCTCTCTGAGCCACTCTCTCTGAGCCACTCTCCCTGAGCCACTCTCTCTGAACCACTCTCTCTGAGCCACTCTCTCTGAGCCACTCTCTCTGAGCCACTCTCCCTGAGACACTATCTGAGCCATTCTCTCTGAGCCACTCTCCCTGAGCCACTCTCCCTGAGACACTCTATCTGAGCCACTCCCTCTGAGCCACTCTCTCTGAGCCACTCTCTCAGCGCCACTCCCTCTGAGCCACTCTCTCTGAGCCACTCTCTCTGAGCCACTCCCTCAGAGCCACTCTCTCTGAGCCACTCTCTCAGCGCCGTCGCGCGCTCGAGGCTGAGCGTCTCACACCGCGTGGGGGAGACCAACCTGCAATGCATGTCTCCTTGTTCCTTCCTTCAGAGAGGGGTCACACAACGGAGGGTGGTGGGGGGTGGGGGCACAAACACAGAGACACGCGTGAGCCACAAGCAATAATTATTGTATTCACGTCGTGCGCGTAATGTACACGAACCGTCTCTTCGAGCGCAGATGTATTTAATCTTTAGCCTAGGGGAAACCCCTCACCGGCTGCTTAAAATATGATCACCGGGGGCCAGCGTCGTCGCGAGAAACCTGCGGCTCGCAGTCTCAGGCTCGCGGGTCGGGATAGAGCTGCGATCCGATGAGCGGATCGTCCGCCGCCACGAGAATGTGGAATTTTCACGACCCCTTTTGAGGCCAGGGCGATGCAACGACGTCCGACTTGAGCGCGATTGCTGGGACGCGTTTATTTCGACGAGGTGCGCCCAATCGGTGTATGGGTTGTCTCGCAGGGGGGGGGGGGGCAAATGAAACGACTCTACTCGTGAACAAAAGTGCAACAGGCGACTTGCAACAACGGCTCGCCTTCATTTCCCCGGGTGAGCCACCAAAACTGGGTGAGGTTTCACTTACCGCCGGCGTCGTTCCTGCCCACCCAACCTCGTCAGCCCGCGCTGCCCAGTGACACTGCGTGGGGGAGGCCTTCATCCAGCAGTGGATTGACCCTGGGCTCTAATTATTTCCGCACAGAGCCTGTTCTCGTGTAACGCCGCGGGAGTAGGTGCGCTCCTGGGGAACACCGCCTTATGGAAAATCCCGTGGTGATGATTAATAAATCACGTAGGGAAAAGCAGAATCCATGATAACGCGTGAGATGCGAACACAGCCTGAACATAGACCGAGGCGTGTGGGTGGCATCTCGAAGCATCCACCAGCATCCCACTGCCTTGTGCGATCCTACGCCGGAGCAGCCGGTCGACCACTTATTCCTACTCGCGCGACGTACTTCTGTTCACTCGATCCCGTTCTATCCAATTTGCATCCAGCGTTATTTTAACAAAAAATGTTATTACCCAATACATTCGCTGCGTTATATATCCAATTAGGGTCATGCAAATGAGACGCAGCGTTATAGGTAAACGGACTGTATTTAAAAGTCTAAGTGATTTCCAGATCAAATGAACATCGAGGGATTTGTGCTGATCTCCCGTATGCAGCCCTGCAAGAGAGCCAGTGGTGAAAATTCCACGTTGCTATGGCAGGCACGAGTCTATCCATAGGACGACCACTGCTGACTTCCCCACAAAGCGGCAGTTATTTTAATCGACGACGGATGGCCGACGGGTCGAGTCAACCTCCGCCGAGGGATTTGAAGGAGCAAACTTCCGATCGCTCTACTGCCGAGCCACGCGGCGAATGCTCTGGATTTGATCTTCGCAGAAACGGCTGGGTTGTCGTGATGCCAGCGGAGATACTGGTGGGAGGGGGGGGGGAGAGAAAGCGCCTCCGCCCCATCGCACGTTATAGGGTGGCACGGGGGGCACGGGGTACCCGACAGCCACGGGCGAGTACCGGCGCAAGGCTCCCCCTTGGCAGCGGGGAGCCCACCCGTCGTGTAAAACTCGCCACGTGCACCGCAAATGCAATTTAACTTTTTTTAATTTTCTTTCCAGGTAAGGCCCCGCTGAGCTGTATAGCTCTTTTTCAGAAGTGACCTGGCTATCACATATGATCGCTCAATGAAGTGGCTCATCACGTAGAAATTTAGTGCAGCCAAATACTCTAAAAGGCGTGATGTTGATTGTAAATTTGGAGGGAAAACCGGAGGACCTGGAGGAAAATCCACGTGACCACGGGGAGAGAGACACGCAAACTCCAAATATACAGCAGGTGTCCCGGGTCAGGATCGAACCCACGACCTCCTGCATTACAGGCGAGGGCGTTCATATCTTGCCAGCGTGACTTAGTCGACACAGAGCAGCACACGGGCAGCTCGAGGCTGGGGGACACGGACGAACGAAGGTCACAGACAGGCACGGGCGCGAACGCGAGAGGCGATGCCAACCGAGCCGAACGCACGGCCACGCCGCGTAGAGCGCGATCGAAGGACGGGGACGCTCGCGAGGCACGGACACGAAGAGAGCGCTGCCACCACGGCAACGCAAGCGGCGAGCGACACGATGGAGTACGCGCGTACACGCGCACGCACAGGCACGGAGATTGCAACTGAGCAGGCACGAAGCGGCACGCAGCGCACGTTGCACGAAGCAGCACGCGCACGGGTGCAATCGCAAACACAACGAAGCAATGCAGTCCATGCAAACCAAGCCGAGTGCGCATATTGTGAGCGGATGAGTGAAGCAAGCAATGGTTACATGGTGCGGGGTGCCCCTGGCGATGGCGCGCGCCGACACTCTTGGATAAGCGCGGCGATGCGTAGTGCTGTGGAGGTGGCGCTGGTGGATCACTCGGAGATTCCCCGCTTGCTCTGAGATCCTCAGGTAGCCGAGAGGGGCCAGCACAGCCAGTGGGTCGCTGGCTTGTCTATGAGGATTGATTTTGAGTGGCATCCTTTCGTTTGTGTTGCTTTTCTCCGGGCATTTCAGCTTCCACCCACATGCAAATATACAAACATCCCAATGCAGGACCCTGCTGGATAGGAATCTTGATACCGATTTATCGTTGATTTTTTGTGTGCAAAGCCAAGTGGACGACCCGGCCAAATTTGTGTCGCCAAGACCCTCCACCACCCAACATAGCTAAACGATATTCTTAGGTTTTTTTCGGTAAAGTCACGTAGGTAAAAACATTAAAAAGTAAAATAAAAAATAAAAATCACGACGTTTCGGAGGCAACACAAGCTTCCGTCTTCAGGTGGTACCGTCACAGCCACGACGGCTGTATCAAGTAAATGAGAGATTGTAGGAGCTACCACTCCGTTTATGTAATGGTCGAAGGTGGGGGTGCAAGGGCCGCATACTTTTTATTAATATGGTAAGGTGAGGCTTAAGACTAAGAATAGACTGCATAACAAAGGCTGAGCCCACCGAGTTGTAGCAAAGGCTGAGCCTTTGTTATGGAGAGGTGCGGTTTGTGACTCAACCTGTAACAGGGAGACCACCACTAAGCATGGTACAACTGTGATGGTTGTCTGTCAAATAAGATTGGCAAATAAGTGTAGTTAAATCTTTTTTGCATGGTTAATCACATCTTTCCAATGATTACAAACCTTTGAATTGCTACATGAAATTGTATTTTCCGAGACCAAGGTTCTCTGCAAACCTCCTGGCTACCATCAAAGGTTTGTACACGAAGCCATACAAATATACAAACACAGACATAATTTCAACCGTGATGACGGTTACAAACTGAGTAATCATGATTACTCAGTTTGTAACCGTCATCACTGAGTAATCATGATTACTCAGTTTGTAACCGTCATCACGGTTGAAATTATGTCTGTGTTTGTATATTTGTATGGCTTCGTGTACAAACCTTTGATGGTAGCCAGGAGGTTTGCAGAGAACCTTGGTCTCGGAAAATACAATTTCATGTAGCAATTCAAAGGTTTGTAATCATTGGAAAGATGTGATTAACCACGCAAAAAAGATTTAACTACACTTATTTGCCAATCTTATTTGATAGACAACCATCACAGTTGTACCATGCTTAGTGGTGGTCTCCCTGTTACAGGTTGAGTCACAAACCGCACCTCTCCATAACAAAGGCTCAGCCTTTGCTACAACTCGGTGGGCTCAGCCTTTGTTATGCAGTCTATTCTTAGTCTTAAGCCTCACCTTACCATATTAATAAAAAGTATGCGGCCCTTGCACCCCCACCTTCTCCGACCATTATATAAACGGAGTGGTAGCTCCTACAATCTCTCATTTACTTGATACAGCCGTCGTGGCTGTGACGGTACCACCTGAAGACGGAAGCTTGTGTTGCCTCCGAAACGTCGTGATTTTTATTTTATTTTACTTTTTAATGTTTTTACCTACGTGACTTTACCGAAAAAAACCTAAGAATATGAATCATTGCAGTCACGAAAGCTTCAAATCTAGAAATAGCTAAACGAGTTTAACCGTCACGTGGTGCATAAGCGTCTAGCGATGCACCATTTTTTATTATTGTTGTTGTTGCCATGTCAGCTCGTTCGCCGGTGAGCCAAGGAACGATCTTCACAGCCAAAGTGCATCCAGTTCTCCATCCCACCGACGAGCTGATGCAGCAGCAGCAACAACAATCGGCGCAATGCTTCATGCTTGTGCACCACGTGATTATTTAATTGACCATTTTTATTTTACTAGGTAAGGTCCACTGAGCCATGTAGCTCGTTTTCAGAAGCGACTCGGCCACACATGATAGACCAACGAAGTGGCTTTTCACGTGTGGAAATTTATAGCAGCCAAAGTACTCTAAACGCGCGATGTTGATTCTAAATGTGGAGGGAAAACCCGGAGGACCTGGAGCAAAAATCCACACGACCACAGGAAGACATGGAAACTCCAAATATAGATTAGGCGTCAGGATCGGGATCGAACTGACGCCCTCCTGTATACGAGGTAGTTAACATCTCGGGTGATGGAGAGGTCTTCCGACACACATTTGGCCCGATCATTCACATAGCCTCGCCCCAAAAATCAATCACGAATCATAACACCAACGGCGAGGAAGACCTGCCGCGTTACATTCTCGGTTCTCTTGATTTTACGAACGTACAGAGAACGTTGTTGCGTAATGTTCAATGCGGGGCCACCGATGGCTTGTGGTCCTTCGTGCCCAATTAATGGGACAGACTGCCATTTCCACTTTCCCATTCTCTAGCCATCGTGTGCACGGGGGTTGGTTTGCAGAGTCGGCACGCCGTGATGGTGGTGGTGGCTTCATCGGCATTCCGTCCGCGAGCCGGCGGCAGGGAATCCACGCAGAGTCCTAGGGGCATCACTCTGACGTCTGCAGTTCGGCCCCGGGAGGTCACCATGGGGGGTCATCACCATATGCCCACAGCCAAACCACCCACTCGTGTCGCCTGCAGCCGACAGCCCTGGGCAGGTTCCCCCCAAGCACCGCTGTGGTCGGATCGCCCTCCTCTCAGGTTCCAGAGGCCTCGGGACGCGAGTCGCAGGGAGGAGGAGGGGGGTTCTCACGATACCGGGCGACGGGAGAATTGCACGCGAGTACCTCGCCGTCGTTGAGTCGGGGTGTTCTCCGCATTCTAGGACAGACGCGCTTCATCTCCTCCTACTTTAAAGTTGAATTTGGGGGTGCGCGTCTTGCAGTCCGCTAGATGCGTGCGTGCGTGTGCGAGGCCAGACTTGTGCAGCCCTTAATGACACGTGGCACCAGATTTGGGGTGCTTCCTACGTTCCGGAGCGTCGGGTGATGCGGAGAATGACGACAAGCAAAGCGGGTATGTGCATGCGCGCCGTTCGACCTCAGCTCGACATGCGTGGGAAAATAACTCGGCTGAGCGAGCGAGTGAAATAGAAAACGCTCGCGCCCACGTCCGAGCCAGCTGCACGTTGGCGACAGGGGCTTCGTCGCTCACTCTGTGGCACGCAGGCGGCGCTGCTAGACCGGCTGTCGGGGTGGCACGTGACCGGCAGCGGCCACGGCCATAGCGCCGCGGTACATGGGTGTGGTGTGCCGAGTGCAGAAATATTTTGTTGTGGCCGCCGCGTGCGTTCAAGGGAAGCAGAGGGGCCACCCGAGGGTTGCCACCGGTCAAGCCGGGGTCGACCCGGACGGTTTCTGCGAAACTGGCGGCGATTGATTTGTGCCGAGATCTGGGCACCGGGCATTGCTGCGTTGAACTCTTATCGCAGTCAACTGCACGGTGCTGCTCTTGGAAAATAGACCGCGCGGTGACCGAGGATGTGTCCGAGTTCAGTCTCCGGCGGGACGGGCGGCGGCCGTACCCTGGTTTGCGGTCGCGCTTTGTTCAAATGAAGCGGATGGACCATGCACAGTGCGAGAGAGAAAGAGAGGAAGAGAGAGAGACAGGAAGCAAGCGAGTAGCAGAGGCGGTCGAAAGTTACGTGCCTGAGGGTGGGAACGCATTGGTAAATTCTCCACGTGGAGACCAGGTACGGGTGGCTGGGGTCAGTCGAGTAAAAGCGCCAGGCTGCCTACACAGAGGGGAGGGGGGTCAGCGGGAGGTCGTGGTCACAGGGCGAGCGCCGCACAGAGTCACGTGGGCAGAGACACGGGGGGGGGGGGGGGGGGGGACAGTGACGGTTCATGCGAGGACGCGAGGGCATCGGAAGATTGTTTGAGGAAAAGGAGGCCTCATTAGCCCTGTCACCCTGCAGCAACAAAGATAAAAAAGAGACAAAGATCCCCTGTTTCGCCTGTAACAGACTGTTTGGCGCAAGTACTGTTTGCGAGCACCTATGATGGCCAACACAGATCACGAGGGGGTGGGTGGCCAGCACCACGACCGGCCGCCTTTGTCTCCCTCATGGCGATGTTTCCTCATCGCACCAGGTATTAATTTGAGGCTAAGTCGACCTAGGGGAGGCCCATGACCGGTTCACATAATCGCCGCTGGTTTTGGCTGTGAGTGGGAATCGAACTCGGGTCGCCAGGTTTGTAGCGCAGTGCAGCGCTAACCGCTACACGACCGCTCCCCGCAACCATGTAGCTCACACACTCACACACTCGCTCGCTCGCTCACTCACTCGCACCCAGCCTCGCTGCACAGGGACAGAGATCCCCGTGGAGCGACCAGAGGCTCGAGAGTCGAAGCGTTGTTAGCGTCTCCCCAATGCAGAAGATGGACACCAACGCACCGGGGCTGCTTATTCCATGCTGAGTCATATTGGACGTGAGCCATTTGAAAGAATACTGTAGAATGTTGAGTCAATGTCAGGGGAGGTTCAGGCACCTCCGATGTGTATGGCTGCAATGGGAATTGAACTCAGGTGGAGGGAAATTCAGTGCAGTACCACCACCACCACCTACAACAGCAACAACACTATCACCACCACCACACTTTGTAACACCACCATTACCACTGCCATCGCTATCACGACCATGACCACGACAAAGACAAATATCTCCCTGTATAGCCTGTGTAGTGTCATACAGACGGACTCTTCAACGTCTTTTGTAGCACACACTTTTATTCGTCTTATGAACACAGTCCCTATGCACTGAGGGGTATACGGTCCCCTCACCCGTTACACTCAGAACGTACAAGCCTCCGCACCCTACAGGCTACTTAATATCCCGCTCTTTCAGTGTCCTCTGACTGGACCTAGGGAGATGTCTCCCCGACCACTGGTTACTCTGAACCCTAGCCCTTATAAGGGCTGGAGGGCTTGGTCCAGGGTCCTAGGCTTCTTCCGCCGTCTTGGGTCTTCGTGTAGTCGAACCTCCGAGAGCTCTGAGTGCTCTGGCTTTATACTTGTTCGTGGCCGGGTTGTCCAATCCCCGGCCACCTTGTGGAACCCTGTGATTGGTCGTTCCCAATCTGCTTTAGGATCCCAATTCACCCTATCTGACCCTGACTGTTAGGTCGCGCGGGAAAACCTTGTTTACGGTCAGCTCTCACAACTTGTGAGACCCTGACCGTTAGTTTGAGCGGGAAAACCTTGTCAACGATTAGCTCTCCCAGTTTGTGAACATCGAGTGGGTAACTCTACTACACCTGTAACAGACTGTTGGGGCAAATGTTGTTGGGGAGCATCTGTGAAGGCCGGCACGGCACACGAGGGAGTGGGTGGCCAGCACCACATCAAACCGCCTTTGCCTCCCTAGTGGCGTTGTTTACACACCGCACAAGGTACTTTTTTGAGGCCGAGTCAACCTAGGGGGCATCAGGTATCAATTCACATTTTCGTCGCTGGTGTAGGCCGTGAGCGGGAATCGAACTAGGGTCGCGGGGGTTCGTAGCGCAGCGTGCTAACCACCACCACACTCACTAGCACCACCACCACACAATAATCAGAACAACCCTAAATCACCACAATCACGAACACAACCATTATCCGGTTAATCAACAGCAGCAGCAGCAATTGAATGTACCAAATCAGTAAAAGCAAATAACCCCCCCCCCCCCTTAAACTCTGCTCTTCAGCCGGCTGCGGTGCCCGAGTGAGGAGGAATCAGCGATGGAGTGGCGCGGTGTTTGCGTGGCCGTGGCTTCCAGAGAGGCGCGCCGCGTTCAGCATCGACGATCGCACTCGGCGGACTCCACAGCGGCACGGAGCGTGGCCGGCGAAGGGGCGCGGCGGGGTGGGGGGGGACACTCCGAGACGGGGCTCGAGAGGTCAATCGGAATCCTTCGGAAATCCACGCGAGAGGCCGCACGCGGCGACGCGGTGAACAAAGTGGCCCGAATGCAAAGGAGCTCGTTGCGGCATCGTGCCAGGCACAAATGGCGCCTCGCCTCCCGCGCGGCCGAACATTCTCATTGCGCCATCCTTCCCTGCTCTCCCACCACGCCCGCGCACGCATCCCATGTGGGAGCGGTGTTGTGTGAATCGTCGTCCTCGGGAGATGGAGGAATACGAATTAAATTATCAACCGACTGTTCGTGGTGCGATTTTTTAGAAAATTATAATTCATTGTTTTTTAGCCGGCGCGATTGTGGCGGCTATGCACGTGGGCTGCCTGTGATCAGGCGCTGCCGAGCCTCGTGGGTCGGTGGATCGCCGCACGGATGCTGTTAAACTCCCCTTCATGTGGGCATCGCGAGAGGAGCTGTACCCTGGCTCGCAAGGAGAATGCAGTAGAGAAACAAGGTTCTGTCTGCACGGGATAGAGTGTTTCCCCGTCGCACGCGCGGGATTTCGTCGGATGCTCCGATTTCTGATACCGATTTATCGTTGATTTTTTTGAGCGAAGCAAAGTGGACGACCCGGTCAAATTTGTGTCGCCAAGACCCTCCACCACCCAACATAGCTTAACGAGTTTAACCGTCACGTGGTGCATAAGCGTCTAGCGATGCACCATTTTTATTATTGTTGTTGTTGCCATGTCGGCTCGTTCGCCGGTGAGCCAAGGAACGATCTTCACAGCCAAATTGCATCCAGTTCTCCATCCCACCGACGAGCTGATGCAGTAGAAGCAGCAACAACAATCGGCCACCGTGGTGAGATGGTAACTGCCTAGCCTGGTAAGCAGGCGATCGTAGGTTCGATCCCGACCCCGACGCTTGTACATTTGGAGTTTGCAGTGTCTCTCTCCCCATGGCCGCGTTGATTTTTCTCCGGGTCCTTCGTTTTTTTCCTTCACATTTAAAATGAACATCACGTCGTTGGAGTATTTGGCGTCTATAACATTTCCACGTGGTAGGCCGCTTCGTTGAGCTATCATCTGCGATAGCCAGATCGCTTCTAAAAGAAGAGCTATGTAGCCCAGTGGCCCTTACCTGGTAAAATAAATAGCGAAGTAGTTTAGTAGTACTGTAGTTTAACTGGTCGATAGAACACCTTTGTAGAGGACTGCAGAGCTTGGGAAACTGTTGGCTCCAGCTGACCACGTGGCTTCTGCTGCTGCTGCCGTCTTTCGGTTTTTCCGTGGCTCCTCCGAGCGTCTCCGAGTGATTCTCTCTCTTCGAGAGTGGATACTGTGCATGGCGGTGCGCGACACGCTTGCGCTGCTGTTATTTCTGCAGTCACTTGTACCCGGGATGTGCTGTCGACCCTGCACGCCAGCAGTAACGTTCTGGGTGTCAACTCACTACCTTTCTTCTTCTTTCGTACGGCTGCTGATGTAGATTGCAGAGCAACAGCTCCAGTTTCACAATCGGGTTGTCAAGCCCAGCTAACCGCGACAGGAGCACCGGTGTAGTAGTGTATCGCTGTGATGTCTCCTTCGTCCTATTTGTGGATCGGGCCATTGCGTTCTTACACGCTGCACGGTCTGTTCTGGATGACCACAGTCGCACACTGCTACTGGGGAGTTTTTAATTTCTCATTTATGCATAATTCAGCTATTCGCATCTACTGTTGCCATGCTTTTAGGGTGGACCACGAGCTTCGTGGAAGAACAAACCCCAGGCATCTACCCTGACTTGGCCATTATGAGCCACCCATTTACTCAGCGCTCCGGACTTTTTTTTTTACTAAACAACAATATAATACAGCCGAACACCCGCGTTCTAACCGTGTTACGTGTATACGCGATTATAATTGTGCGGCTCTCCATCGCCCATTGCAACGGCGCTTCTACGTGCGAGCGCTGCACACACACAGAGAGCGCGACGCATGCGGACCACTCTCCCCATGCGCACGGCACAGCCCACAGGCACAACCCGCAGGCACGGCACAGCGCTGCCGTTCATGAGGTTACACAAAACAAGAGTGCCCGTTAAACATGTTCACGTTACTTTACTGCACGATACCGAGAGAATGACGATGCGTGATCCACCCGCTGCCGGATGAAGGCCTCCCCCAAGGGGGCGCCGCCAACCTCTCGCGATCCGGCGGCGCGGTAATCCACGGCCCTCCCACCACGTGAACCGATTTCATCGCTCCGTCTCCTCGACGGTCGATCAGGACTCGGAGACCCGAGCTGGTGCGTGCGTGCGCATACCGGTGTGTGGTAATGCGCGCGCGTGTATGTGCGCGCACGCATGCCTTGCTGTTAAGTATAAATTTCGATCCGAGTGGGTGTGTTGACATTCCTGTGCGTGCCCTTGCCTTGGAGTGATTGTGCGGATATGTGTTGGGAGTATGTTGGTGCGTACGTGTGTGATTATTGTGTGGGGAGCGGTTAGCGCGCTGCGTTACGCGCCCGGCGACCCGAGTTGGAGTCGCAATCGCACCCAACACCAGTGGCGAATATCTGAAATGGCCATGGGCCTCCCCTAGGGCGACTCGGCCTCAAGTGAGTACCTAGTGTGGAGTGTTAACACAAAGGTGTGATGCTGGCCACCCACCCCCTCGTGTGCCTTGCCAACCTTCATAGGTGCTTGCTAACAGCACTTGCTCCAACAGTCTGTTAGAGGCTACACGGGGGATCTTTGTCTTTTATTATTGTATGGCGAGGGGTGGTGCAGTCAATATCGCACCACCTGAGTCCAATTCGAATGCAACATCAGTGGCGAATATCTGGAATGGACATGGGCATCTCCTGGTGGATGCAGACTTCAACGAGTACCTGGTGCAGTGTAAACATC